GTTGCACAGATCACATACCGTATGTTGAATTTGGGGATTGCGTGGCTTTCAACAACGAGAAAGGAGGCGTGATTGAGTATCTCAAGGATGAGAAAATTGTTGACTTGAACTCAAATCACCCAAGTGTTTCATGCACCACTGTGCAAGACACAAAGGCCATGGTTTCGTCCTGGCTTGCTGATGCTTTGATGTATGAACTCTGGGTGGCTAGTGATGGAAGCATTGCAAATGATATCTACTTCTCTGATCTCGCTTGGCCCATTGGAAAGATACTCCACTGGAAGAAAACTAGACATGTGAAGCAACTACTGGGTATAACAAAGCTCAATGCTGCAGAAAAAGAAGAGGAGGTTTGCTACTCCCTATCTATTATTTTCCTAGGGTTTTTTTTTTTGTTTTTTGGGTGACACGCTAATAGCTTCTAATGCATTTTTTCTGTTTAAACAGATATACCGGAAGGCAAGTGCTGCATATGACTCATTGTCTTTAAGATTAGGGGATCAAGTCTTTCTATTTGATAATAGGTACACTTCAATCAACTTGTATCCAGCATATTTCTCTGTACTTTGTGTTAGGTTTTTATGCTTGCTGACACTTAGATATTTGTTCTGATATGCCAAATGTGGAGCACTGATATTTCTTAATTTCTATTTATGAAGCCCTACAGATGTTGATGCTCTTTTCCTTGGACATGCTCTTTTAGTTCTCAGTGCATTGCCTGTAAGTTTCCCTCTATACTTAGCTGTGTACCTGAATGGCAGACACTCGCTCATCTAGTTGCATAGGAACATTGACGAAGCATAGATGCCTGATTGCACTTGCACGTTCTCTTGAAAGCACTGGTTCCCATCTTGAATGCTTCGGATGTTACGTTCTCTTGAAAGCACTGGTTCCTATCTTGAATGCTTCTGATGTTAGTAGTAACTATCTAGTTGCATAGAAAATTGATGAAGTACAGATGTCTGATTGGACTTGCACATTCTCCTGAAAGTGCAGGTTCACATCTTGAATGCATCTGATGTTAGTAGTATTAGGATTGAGTGTTTTTCTATGCCATTAAGAGTTTCCTAGCAATAAACCTAAACCTATCGAGCAAATGATCCAGAGCATCCTGAAATTATGTTTTATATAGTTAGTTTCAGGGCATGTTCTGATTTTACTTCTGCCTTAGGATACATCTGTGCTGAGGGGCACTTTGCAGAAGCATGACAACTTGGTGAGCTTTGCTGAGCATCACAAGGTCCAATTGCTGGAAACCTCATCATCATCAGCATCAGGATTAGGATTATCACCTAGTCCATCATCATCCACCCCCAGGAGAAGACCATCTGCTGACCAAGGTAAGCAAACAGTCCGCTTACCCTGCTGCTCAGAATTCAGAGATTGCTGTTGTAGCATCTATACATAGCTGGATAAATTGTGATCAGGAACATTAAAATCTGAATGATACCATTTTACTCTACCTGGCAGACCTTCCAGCTTATAAGTATGATTTTCCTGTTCAGTGCCTATCAATCTGTCAAATTTATTATAAGGATGTGTTACTCGAAATTTAATCATGTTAGGTGAAGAATTTATGATCTGCTTGTCTGAGTTATTTCTTATGTCTGTGCTATTGCCAGTTCCCATCATATTCACTTAATGGACTATTTTTTTTACTCAATTCAATCTGCAATTCTGCAGTCTACTCATTGGTGACTGACTGTTTCACAAAACTGTAATTATTTGCAGCTAAATATCAAGGAACTACAACTTCTATGAAACTGGTCCCAAAAGCTGCAGTTCCTTGATAGTTAGGTGCATATAACAATAGGTTTGTGAAGTTAACTCTTAACATTTGTGCATGAATGACTTACCCTTCCTTGTAGTAACTAGGAATCTAGGACATAAACATGAAAGACTTACCCTTGTAGTAACTAGGAGTCTAGGACAAAAAACTGCATTTCGTTACAAAGTGAAGTGGCAACTGTGCTAAAGAATATTTTAGTGGATGGATCCTTTATGTAATCCTGGATCACTGATTGCTCAAGCTGTACGTTGCTTCCTTAACTTCATTGCATCACAATGCTGTCATTGGAAGAAACTGTGTCAAACAATGATTTAATTAGGATATGAGTGGAAAATCAATATATGCATAGATAGCATATGGTGCCCCTAGACAGAATAATGATAATGGGGTTCTCTTGCAAAAAATGATTTTATATGATTTATTTATTGTTTGGTATGATTTGGCCAGTCCAAAGGGCTACCATACTTTTATTTTGTATTTTTTGAAAGAAGTAAAATGTGTTAATAAGAAAATAAATTTGATAGAGATGGTCTAACAAGTTCTTGAACTTCACTGTCTCTTTTACCTGTTGTCTCGGTGGTCATGTTTTGCTTATTCTCGTGACAGTTTCCAGACATCTGATTGTTGCTTTATGTTCTTATATTGACCTGATCTTTAGGTTATAAGCCAAAACCCAGAGCCAAGAAGGAACGGACAGAGGAGGAAAAGAAATTCAGGCGAAGAGCAAAGTATTTCCTGGCCACACAACTTGTTGCAGTTCTTGTTTTCCTATCACTGATGGGTGGGGTTGATAGTTCCGATCTAGACGACGATGACGGTTTAGAATATGAAGATTAGATCTTCCCTGTATTAGATCTTGTTACACATGATTCGTTCCAAGGACAAACTGCCTGGTTGGTTGGGGGTTCTGTGAGAATTTGTTCCAATACTTCGTCTGTGAAAAATGTGTTGCACTTGATTGTAGCTAGGAATTCACTGAGTTGGTTACCCCTCGGCAGTTTCATAAGCTACTTCGGCCTTAAACATACTTGTCCCCGAAGTTTTTTTTTTTTTGGCTTCAGTGAACCAAACTTGTAAGCAAATTCGAATTTTAGAGTTTTGGAGACGCGCTGCTTCTCTGTGATGGGATCTATTGGCATGAACCTTCCTGTCCAGTAATATAATAGATTAGCTGAGGCTTTATGGTATTATATAGATTTTTTTCTCCTCTACGTATCTTTGATACTCCGTCCATTCCAAATTATAAGTCGTTTTGGCTTATTTAGATTCATACATTTTGCTATGTATTTTAATATACACTATGGTTAGATGCAAAGTAAAAGTAACATATATAGAAAAGCTAAAATGTCCTATAATTTAGAATGGATGAGGTATGTCGGCTAGAGATTGCAATAAAATGTGTATGTGGGAGTACGCAGTTTTTTAAACATTTCCTATACTGCAATCTCGATTTCAGGATGGATGGGGGGTGGGTTGCTATCTACGGAGTACACTATAAGGGCAGATCCGGAGCCAGTGGAAATGAAAGGGAAGCTGGGGGAAAGACGAATCTGATGTAGAAGAGGAAATAAGAAAGATAGGAGTTGGAAAGTGTACTGGTTTTTGCTAGTGCTTTTGCGAGTATAGAAAGGAGTTCGCGGAGAAGGTCGGCTAGGTGGAGAGCGTGGTGGAGCCGCTGCCAGCCCTGGGTGGAGCGGTTGTTGGGCTAGGGAAGAGCGGTGGGGTGCCGGACACGATGGCCAAGTTGAGGACGGAGGTTGGCGGGCGGGAGGCGGAGGGCAGAGCCACGGTAAAAAGGGAACTGAACAAAAAAACATAGTATTAGAACGGCCACAGTGATGACTTATAAACTAGCTCTAAATATTTTTTTATATTTTAATGGAAGAGAGAAAAGTTAGCTTTTAATTGCTCTTTTGCTTATATATAAACTTCATTTGTCTTAATTGAAAGACAGAGCTCATGCCATTGTTTAAAAAAAAAGATTGCAATAAAATGTGTACGTGGGAGTACGCAGTTTTTTAAACATTTCCTATACTGCAATCTCGATTTCAGGATGGATGGGGGTGGGTTGCTATCTACGGAGTACACTATAAGGGCAGATAAGGAGCCAGTGGAAATAGGGAAGCTGGGGGAAAGACGAATCTATGTAATTAGGAAATAAGAAAGAACCATGGACTGGTTTTTGGTGCCCTTATATAGTTCACTTTCCTAATATTAATGGAGCCAGCCCTGGGTGGAGCGGTTGAGGAGCTAATGGCCAAGTTGAGGATGATTGGCGGGCGGGAGGCGGAGGCCAGAGCCACGGTAAAAGGGAACTGAACAAAAAAAACATAGTATTAGAACGGCCGCAGTGCCTTATAAGCTAGCTCTAAATATTTTTTTATATTTTAATAGAAGAAAGAAAAGTTAGCTCTTAATCGCTGATACATATATTTCAAGATCATGTGAGAGTGTTATAGAGTCATATGTTAAAAGTTATCAGTACCATTGAGAAAATTAACTTAGAACTAGTAATTAGCTTAAACCATTACAGGTGCCCTTATATAGCACTTTCCTAATATTAATGGAGCCAGTTGTAAGAAAAAAGAGGAGCTAATCCTCTAGTATGATAGTATCAGTAAGTAAACTGGATTGGTGTGATGTGAGAAGCTGCCTAGAAATTACTGATTACAATCTGGTCCTCTTGTGTCATCTCACCTCTGAATTTCCGAACTGGAAACGTGTTGTTTGCTTCATACCGGTCAAAGACGGACGGTGTAGACTACTGTACAACGTTGATTTTGATTTTGACAAACCCCACACCCACTGCTTCAGAATCTATCTAGATGGAGCATGTGACTGCTATGGAACAAACCCCTCCCCTGATCTGCCAAATATCCAAATCTGCCCTCCCCTGAGCTGCCAAACATCCAAATCAGGGGCGTTTTGTTCCAGAAAATATATCAGGGGCATTTGTATAATTCGCCAATATCACAAAGAGGCAGAACACGGGAGGTTTGATGCTTTGCAATAACTAGGAAACAACCTTATTGTTCGACAGGAAAAGTGCCCTTATTTAGTTTCTATATGAAGAGCATTATGGTTCAATTAGCTTTAGACTAAGAGTAGACCAGCACTGCTGCCAGATCGGTTATATATACATGACAGTTACCTGTGGCGATTCAGAACCAATTTGCTCAAAACCCCAGATTCCATGAGTTCCCAGCGCACAATGCAACACGCCAGCTACAAGGCCCTCCATCTCCTTCACCTCGTATTACTGGCCACCGTGCTGCCGGCGGCTGCCGTTTCCTCCGGGAGCAACGGCACAGACACTGACCTCGACGCCCTACTCGCGTTCAAGGCACAGCTCTCGGATCCTCTAGGTGTTCTTCGTGGCAACTGGACCCCCGGCACGTCCTTCTGCCACTGGCTGGGCGTCTCGTGCAGCCAGCGACGAGAGCGTGTCACCGCCCTGGCGCTGCCAAACACTCCCCTGCATGGCAGCATCTCTCCCTACATCGGTAACCTCTCTTTCCTCTACGTCCTGAACCTCACCAACAGCAACCTCACGGGCACCATCCCAGCTGAGCTTGGATGGCTGCACCGTCTCAGGGTTCTTGCCCTTCCCTGGAACAGCCTGTCAGGTTACATCCCTGCCACCGTCGGGAACCTCACGAGGCTCGAGAGCCTTGTTCTTCTGGAGAACAGTCTGTCAGGGCTGATCCCCGATGAGCTGAAAGACCTGCAAAATCTTAGGCGCTTAGACCTCCAGACGAATCACCTGAGCGGCAAAATACCAGAAGTATTCAACAACACACCTTACCTGAGCTATCTGAACCTTGGCAACAACAGCCTATGGGGGACCATACCTGTTGGCATTGGATCCTTGCCCATGCTTCAAATCCTGTCTTGCAAGATAATCACCTCACTGGCACCGTGCCTCCTGACACCTTCAATAATTCCTTCCTGCAAGTTCTGAGCCTCGTGAATAACAACAATCTGACCGGGACTATCCCTGGCAATGGAAGCTTCAATCTTCCAATGCTGCAGTTTTTATCCCTCTCTTGGAACAACTGTGGGTAGGATTCCTGTGGGGCTCAGCGCGTGTCAGTTCCTGCAAATAATCTCTTTGTCAGAAAATGCTTTTACAGATGTTGTGCCAACATGGTTGGACAAATTATCGAATCTCAGGTCCCTTGCCTTAGGTGGAAATAACATTTTTGGGTCGATCCCAATTCAGTTAATCAATATCACTGGGCTTCAGGAACTTGATCTCTCAAACAACAAGTTGGAAGGGCAAATCCTACCAGAATTTGGGAAGATGAAACAACTACAGTATCTGGAACTTTCAGATAATGAATTGACAGGTCCTGTTCCTGCTTCCATTGGTAATTTGTCTGACCTGTCTTTCCTAATGTTGGATACAAATATGTTGAATGGATCGATCCCACTCACATTTGGGAATCTTGGCTCTTTACAACGCCTTAGTTTTGGATGGAACCACTTCGAGGGCGGACTTGAATTTTTGGGTGCTCTTTCGAATTGCAGACAGCTCAGTTACCTCAACATGGAGTCCAATTCTTACTCTGGGAGTCTCCCAGATTATATTGGAAACCTCTCCAAGCTACTAGTGACTTTCATAGCAGGTGAGAACAACTTAATTGGCGGACTTCCTGCAAGTGTATCAAATTCAACTACCCTGCAAGCCATACATCTCACAGGCAACCAGCCTGTTCACTGCCGGCTGGTGCTGGTTTATTGTAAGAGAAAAACACTGTATCATGGCTGATAAGCCCTGCGCTGAAACCAACAAGCGAACATGCTGAACAAACTGAACAAGCCGATCCCAGAAGCGGTTGTGAAACTGGCGAACCTCCAGGTACTTGCTCTCGCCAATAATATCATGTCTGGTCCCATCCCAACCCAAATTGGTAGGCTTAGAAGCCTTCAACAATTGAGTCTTGACAACAACAACTTCTCTGGCTCCATACCTGATGGCCTTGGTAATCTTAGTGTTAACAAAAAAATATGGCGATGTGATCAACACACAGCAAGACGGATGATATGAGTGGAACGAGACCAGAAATCTGCTTGACTTCAACACAGAACCAGCCGATTATGAAAACCCAACGACGTGCTAGTCAATTTGACCTGCAATTGACAATGAGAGAAAATTTTATCAGTAATGTAAAGTGGAACATGTCGGTGTTGCACCAAACAGTTCCAAATATATGGCTACATAGTCGATTCAATAAGGCTATCAACTAAATAGTCGATATCCGATGTATCCATGGAATGAAGATCTTTAAATTAAGGATTATCGGCTAATATTAAATAATAATGATATGAATCAAAATAACCGATACTCATGGAACATCAGAAAGCATCATCGGCTAAATGGAACATGATCGATATAAAGCGTCGAGCCGATAAGTTTGATGAAAAGAGTATAACACGCGAACAAATGGATTGTCTAATATAAATGAATCTACAAACAGTTTGAATCTAATTTATTATCATCAATAGTGAGGTTTGATTGGATCGATGTAGCTATGATAATGATAACAAACTAAAGCCAAAGAATTTATAAAACCATCTATATGTTGACAGATTCATTGAAAACATGCTATATGTGTGAGAGTATAGACAAATCGGCTAAAATAGCCGATACAGTCATAGCAAACAAACAGAGTATATATCTTGATCATGAACAAGACCACTAATCGATAATTTCTAATCTAAAATCTTACCAGTGAGGTTCGATCGGATCGATGCAGCTATGGTAGTGTCATTAGATTAGATCTCATTAACTAGTGAGTTTATTCAAGATTGAAACATGTCTTTGAATGCATACTATGTTTGACTAAATAGAGATAAAACAACAGATCTAGCATAATTAAGTCATCAATTATAAGATTTAAAGCGTGACCAGATCGAAGGACGACCAATTAAGATGATATAATGCCGATCTATCTCTATCTCAATCAGGTGATTTGTTATAATTAATAAAACAATAATTATAACAAGATCGATAACTGGTGAATCAATCAAAAACAGCAAGGAAAATCTTACTAATCTTAGCAGATTCGATAACCGGTGATATTGTATTAAACAACAAGTTATTTAACACAAGATCGATAATTTTGATCTATATTATGATTCGTAAGAGATCAATCAGCTGATGCAGCCTTACAAACTACGATACAGATCGATAACTAACTTATATTATGGCTCATAAAAGATCAATCAGCTGGTACAGCTTTATAAGCACAATACAAGTTGTGACGGTACTCACAAGCAAGCTAGAGATCGATCAGTCGATGTAGCCTGAAAGATTGTATTGATTGAGTGATCATTTTTTTTTTACAATAACCAGGGTCTAATATTTATACCCGAAACCTAAATATGAATCATACTCAAATACCACTCATTACGGGTGTCATTGGCTTTGCTTTGACAATTCTTGAAATAAAAGCAAAACTGCCTAGGCGTGTTTGGTTGTCTTTGTTGTTAATAATAACTGAGACCCTAATCTTTCTTATTTGTTTGAGAGTGTGACACACATCTTCATCCTGCATCGCGCCATTCAAGCATAGCCCATTGGCGCGGAATAAAAGCGAAGCGAGGCAAAGCGTGACGTCATCTATAGGAAATGAAGCCGATTTTGACATCGCATCTAAATTACAATTCTTGGAATCGATTCCTAACATCTAATCAATTCCATTTGATGACACAATCAAGCATAGCCCATTGACGCCCGGAAGCATATATTCGAGTCGACCCGCATTCTTCGATTTCAAATTTTGATGTCTAAACACTTCCCAAAGTCAAATGTTAGAATATATTTCTCTCCCCTATAACAAGTTGTCTTCATCCATACCACCGACGTTATTTCATCTTGACAACCTTATCGGACTCAATTTGTCAAACAACCTCTTGATTGGTACACTCACACCTGATATAGGAATCATGAATGCAATTAACACAATAGACCTCTCTACCAACCAGCTACCTGGTGATCTTCCAGAATCATTCGGACAACTGCAGATGCTGACCTACCTCAATTTATCACATAACTCGTTTCAAGATTCAATCCCAAATTCTTTTGGCAAGTTAGCGAGCTCGGAAATATTGGATCTTTCCTACAATAACCTCTCTGGGAACATCCCAATGTACCTGGCCTATCTTACATACCTCACCAATTTGAACCTCTCCTTCAATAAGCTACAAGGACGTATACCAGAAGGAGGTATTTTCTCAAACATCAGTTTACAGTCCTTGCTAGGGAATGATACACTTTGTGGTGCTCCACGTCTAGGGTTTTCGCCATGTATGGTCAGATCTCACTCGAGAAATGGAAAGATACTTAAATTTGTACTCCCTGCTGCTCTTGCAGCATTTGGAGCAATAGTTATTTGCTTATATGTAACAATCAGAAGAAAAAATAAAAACCCAGGAGCGTTGACAGGTTCCAATAATATTACTGATGCAGTCAGACACAGATTAATTTCTTATCATGAGATTGTTCATGCCACTAACAATTTCAGTAAGGAAAATTTGTTGGGAGTAGGATGCTTTGGCAAAGTTTTCAAGGGACAGCTAAACAATGGCTTGGTGGTTGCCATCAAAGTTCTAAACGTCCAATTGGAAGAAGCTACAAAGAGCTTTGATGCTGAGTGCCGAGTGCTGCGCATGGTTCGGCATCGCAACTTGATAAGGATAATCAGCACTTGTTCTAACCTAGACTTTAAAGCATTGTTACTTCAGTACATGCCTAATGGTAGCTTGGATGCACATCTGCACAATGAAGACAAGCCACCCTTAAGATTCCTCAAGAGATTGGACATCATGATAGAGGTGTCGATGGCAGTAGAATATCTGCATCATCAATATCATGAGGTAATCTTGCACTGTGACTTGAAGCCTAGCAATGTGTTATTTGATGACGATATGACGGCACACGTGGCAGATTTTGGCATAGCAAAACTCTTGTTAGGTGATAATAACTCAGTGATTTCTGCAAGCATGCCTGGAACAATTGGATATATGGCACCAGGTAGTAACCATTCATGACTGAATTTATTATGTAGTACCATATCTTTCTTTCTTTCTTTTAAAAAAGTCTCTACTGATCCTTATTGTTCAAAATAATCCTTAACAGAGTATGGCTCCATGGGAAAAGCATCCAGGAAAAGCGATGTGTTTAATTTTGGAATCATGCTGCTTGAGGTATTCACCGGGAAGAAGCCCACAGATAACATGTTTGTCAGGGAACTGAGCCTTAGGGACTGGGTTCGTCAAGCATTTCCATCAATGATTAGCAGTATTATCGATGGTAATTTACAACAAGAAGATGAAATAATACATGGTTTTCACCACACCACCATCCCTTCAGACGTTTCTCCAAGCATCTCACATAGCACTCTCATATCAATATTTGAGTTGGGTTTGGTATGCACAAGTGAATTGCCTGACGAAAGGATAACTATGACTGATGTCGTTGCCTAGTTGAAGAAAATCAAGGACGACTTTATGCATGAGCACAGTTCAGCATGAGGTGGAAACAACATTACTGGTGTTATTGTTTAAAGATAGCTATAATGTTATCAAACTACAACCCTTGAAAGATATTTTGTCAGCATATAATATATATTGAAACTATGGTTACAGGCTTACAGCACCCTTTTTAACTTTCCCCAACAAATCGCACTAGCTAAGATCACCAATCACAAATGATCTTTAACCTTGGATGAGCAAAAAATAACTTAGTCACAAGGCTACCTCCGACCAACAGTATAACCTCCAACTAGCCGACTTGTGCTGGAGGCACCAACTGAAGTAAACGCCAACAAATTGTGATTCTAACATCTATCTGATTCCACAAGTAAAGCAAGTGATAACGTGATTGCGGAAACTACTGAAACTAGGATACCGAGTAATGTAATGACTATCAAAAGAAGAATTCAGTAAAATGCTAGA